CGGAGAGGCCGCCTGATCAGGAGAGATCATAGTGGGGTCGTATGGGATGATTCTGGGGCCCAGCGTGGGGCCGGTGATAGTGTTAACACCGAGATGCCATCTGCGAGGCTTGGGCTGCGGTATTAGGGGAGGTCGGAGCCGCAGAGCGCCCCCTGGCATCGGGGCACTACAATGGGCAGCCTCCCGCTTAATTGACATCGATATACGAATCAATTATCATCAAAGGCGTGGTGGGCGAGATAAGCGGGTGGTTGCCCAGAGACAGGTGGGCGGGCCACAGAGCTCGGCTCCAGGAGGCCCCCTGTCACAATGTGATACTGTAACTGATCCATGTTGGTCAGCACAAATGTTTGCTTGTAAACACTTTAACCCCATAACTTGTTTTGTTGAAGTGCTGCAGAAGTGCATCCTCTGTTAAATCTGTGTAGCAGGTTGGCTTCTTCTTGTATTACAACTTAGATTCTTGCATTCTCTACTTTACTTAAAAGGCCCCAATTTGCTTTGAAAAAAGATGGTAAATATTTAATGTCTGTGTATGAAGGGACCAACTCAAAATGTTCATTATTATATAACTTCTGAACCAGTTTTCTTCCTACTTCGAAGTCGTCTTTCTATTGGTAAGTTTACAAAAAGAACTGAAGGTAGAATATCTGACTCTAATCTTCCTTTACATGAAGGACTAAAGTAATCCTCCCTGCAAAACATTTTAGGCCTGATGTAGATAATGAAGGTGCTTAAAAAAGAAATTACAACCATCCGTTTATAATAGCATTCTTAATATAGAGGTCACTACTAGCTCCCTGGCTAGAACCCTCTGCCCCTGTAACCTTACTGCTTGATGTCAATGGCAGTGATCATGGCTGGGTTCAGTAATCTGTCCTGAGAAACTCTTCTGAAATAACAACATTCTTGGCTCAGTCCCCATTCTCCCAACCCTCATCTGGTCCTAAGAAAAAGTCTGCACTTCCCTTGTCACCTATATCTAGTTCTTTTATAGATTTATCTACACAGAATCAAGTACTTGGGCATGGTCAGCAATTTGAAACAGGAGTATTTTTGATTAAGGAAGCATAGTAAATCAAAATATCAAATTCAGAAATTTATTATTTTTCTTCTGGAGCTGCTTAGAAACTTCATTCCTGAGCCTGGGCACCATGGTGCTAGGTGCTGTACAAATACTTGAAAGGACGTGGCAAACACTTCAATCCCATTTATTAAATTGCCTGCATTACATGAATTTAGACTATGGAAAAACACAGATATTCCAGCTCTCTATAACCTCACTCAGATGTCCAAATATGTGCAGTAGCCTCTGAGTACAAGTTGAGATAGAGGATTCCACAGCCTTTGTGCCTCACTTCTGTCCTGCCAAACCAGGGACTGATGCGGCCTGCCACAACCTGGTCTGCTTTCATAGTCATCCCTATGCAAGGCTGAATCATTCTCTGTATTTGAAAGGCCTCCCAAATACAGTGTTTCTCTCTCTGCAATGTCCCAATTCTCTGTTAGGCTAGGTACAGGCATTCAAAAAGCTTGAGGTGGAATTGATCCAAGTTATGCAGTTTTCTGTAAATGGCATAGTTTAGAGAGGTAGCAAACAGAACACACATTTGCCCTCTTGGGGTAGGGGTGGGGAGGGCAATCTTATACTAAGTTTTGCCATTTTAAAATCGGCATATACGCGCTGAACTTCTGTTCTGTTAATGGGTATAGACTCGTTTCCAATCACTTATTCTGTTAAAACTATACGGTCTGTACCTGGCTTAATTCTAGGAGAATTGTGGACTTTGCCTGCAGAGTCCACACTTTCAGCTCCAGGTGTTTTCCTAGGTACATCTTCCATAGCTCATGTGCTTTTCTGGGAAGGGAATTGCATTAACAATCTGTTAACACTGAGACTGGAGCATGAACTTCAAATAAAGCAGCACAGTACACTGTATGGAGTTATGGCTTAGCAAGAGGATACTTTATGAAAGGAAAACTTACACATGACTAGACTTCTGTTTCTTCTGCGAAGAGAAGTATAGTTCCCTGTCCAAGTCTTTCTGCACACTATCTTTTGTCAGTTATGGGAGGGGTATCAAAAAGCCTTATCAGACCTAGTATGAATTTGGTATAGAAATGGCTAGTTTTTCATTTTCTATCAGGTAGTAACATACCTCAACATATGGTGTTGATGCAAGTATTGAAGTGTGATGCAAACGTAGAACCTAGTATGACAGTTTAGTATGTGGGCAGTGTCCATCCTGTGTAGACTTCTGCCAAGGAATGCTGCAGATTTCTAGATGAGTCTACACATTACTTTCACAGGAGTGAAGTACCTCAGGAGCCTTAGGTCTAGATCTGTGGGACTGAGGAGGAGGGCTGGGGACCACAGAGAATACAGATCATAACAAAAATGTCCTTGAATTTGTTTCTCTGTGGCTTTGCATTTTGCACAGTAATTTACTCCTGTCCAATCATGGTGTATAACCTAACAGAAATGATTTGGTACCTATTTTGCATTTTGTTGGTATAAGTGACTCCACACAGCTTAAAGCAAATGTAGAATCAGACTCTTTAGTCTGAGATCAAATGGAACTTGCCTGTTCCTTTGTACTGCACTAATTCATTATTATCTTTGTTCTCTCTTCTTTCTCCATGAAGTACATACGTTTATCATGTGACACAGACTCTGAAACGCTCTATGAGCTGATGACTCAGCATTGGCACCTGAAAACTCCCAACCTTGTCATCTCAGTCACAGGGGGAGCAAAAAATTTTGCACTGAAGCCACGGATGCGCAAGATATTTAGCAGGCTAATCTTCATTGCCCAGTCCAAAGGTGAAAAATGGTGTCTTGCAGCTACTCTTTTTTTTCCCCTAGGGTAAATAAGTGCATGTTCATGTAGTGGATAAACTATTCTGTACAAACTAATATGGAAAAGGAAAATGAGTTAGCACCAAAATGAACATGGGTTTAATTGGAAGAAAAATGTTGTGATTTTGTTGTTGTTTCTATATGAGAAACAGGGAAATGCATCTTGAGACAAACTTGCCTTTTTTGATATTGTTGTTCCTGTTCTAAATATCCCACTACATATACCATCACTTATGCATTTGATACTTTTAAATTAAATTGTAATAACTGCCATGTGCCAGAAGATACCTGAAAAAAACTGAGTATTACAATATCTCACATTAAAGTACTAGGCTTAATTCATTCCCAGTGGGTGCATCTATACATGCATTTACTTTACTTTGGCCTAAATTTATACTGGTATAAACTAGTCTGTTTTAAGCACTTCTGGGCAGGTGTCTACACATGCAGGGATTAGGTAGTAGATTTGAACCTAGTTTCCTGCAGCCCTGCAGTAGGCCCCTGCTACCACCGGGGGGAGCTCCAGGCTCCCCCTGAGTGCTAGCCCATGGGCTGGCAGGGAGCACTGGGCCAGGAGACAGTTGCCTCTAGGCTTGTCTCTTGTCCCGGTGGACTTCTTGCTGCTGGTGTAGGAACAGTGTCCCGGCAGTAGGGATCTCCTGGCCCTGGCTCCCCAATCAGGGACACGGAGTTTGGAAAGAGCTGCAGGGATGGGGCAGGTCCCAGCCCCCTGGCCCAATCTTCTGGTGGTGGGACAGTTAGCTTGCTGCTAGCTGCCCCACTGATGGATCAGGGCAGAGGGCTTGGATCTACACATCAACCCTGCAGCTCTTTCCAAGCCCCGTGCCTTGATCACCTGATTGGGGCATGGAGCTGGGACCTGCCTCTAACAGGGACAGTTCCCAGGCTGGGTGGGGAAGTCTGCATGTGCAGCCTGGAGCTGGCTAGGGGTTGCCTGAAACAGGACAGTCCCCAGCCACTTCCAGGCTGCATGTGCTTCCCTGTGCAGCCTGGGCCTGGCTGGGAACTGTCCCAAATAGGGGAGTGGAGAGTGGGGGCCAGAAGCTTCCTTCTGCCAGGGCAGGGGGATATTGTTCCCACCTGGGCATTCAGGGAAGGGGCTTGGGAGCTTGTTCCCTGCCCAGCTCTGTGAGTGTGGAGTTGGAGGGGGATCAGGCTGGGGAACTTGTTTCCCACCCCTCTTTTCCCACCCCCACAGCTCTCACAGAGCTGGGTGGGGAACAAGCTCCCATGCCAGCAGGGAGCTTCCAGCACTGGCTCCATGACCACAGGACCGCTGCTGGAAGACCCTTATATCCCAGCCTGAGCTCTGAGATCATGGGGCTTGGGCTGGGAGACCCTTATGTCCCAGTCTGAGTTCCGCGGTCGCAGGGCTCGGGCTAGGAGCTAAGGGTCTCCCAGCTGGAGCCGGATGACTCTGGAACTCAGGCTGGGAGATAAGTCTTCAAGCCTGAGCCCCATGACCATGGGGCTTGAGCTGGGAGATAAGGGTCTCCCAGGGCCCCATTCCCCAGTTGCGATCTAGGAGCTTGGAACTCCCTGCTGCCAGGGCAGGGGGACACAGTCCCCACCTGGGCTCCTGTGGCAGAGCCTGCCCTGGCAGCTGGGAGCTCCTGGGGGTAGGGAGCTATCTTTCTTCCCCTGGTGAATGGCTGACTGGGAGCAGATTTTGCTCCCGGTCAGGTGTCTACGCGAGTGCTACAGCATCATTACTAAACCTGAGTAAATTTGCTACTTGCATTTTCAGGTAGCAAATTTACTCAAGATTAGGGGTTTTTAATGTGAAGTAAGCATGTGCACGAGTAGATGCACATGCTTACTTCATAGTAAACTATGCTAATGCAAAGTTAAGCATCTCATGTTGACCCATCCAGTGTAACCTGTTTTCCAGCCAGTGGAGCAAAATCCAAGAAGATTTTGTTTCATTGAGTGTAACTGGCATTTTAGCTGGCATGCATGGCAAGCCTCTCAAACAGCTGGTTTTGCTAGTCTTCTGCTAAATCAGGCTGCTGAATAAGAAAAAAGCTGGAAACGGTTAGCAGGGAGGTAGAGCTTTGTCTTAACGACTGTTTAGCCAGTGCACTTCAGGCAAACACAAGCTAATTACTTTGGAGAGTTGTCAGGAGCCAGTCTGGGCTTTGTCAAGGATGCCCTTTGTAGCCTTGGGTAAATCTCATAACTTCTCCTTTGCAGCTTCTTCACCTCTACAATTGCAATTAAAATCTTTCCCATGGTCCTGTGAAGATAGATAAGTTGTAACATGTCCTTAAGGTAACACCCAGTTCCCTGTTGCCTTGCTTTTTGTGTTGTCACTTACATCGGCACCCAGTAGTACTTGCTCAGAATGTTTGTCTGCTGCACCCGCTTAGCACAGGAGTTCCTGATTTTAAGGGATGCAGGGCAGTGGAGAATCAGGAGCTTGCTTATCTTGGGTGTATAAATATATAAAGACTAGAACTGTTATCATGCTCTTTATTAAGTTTGTGGATTAATTTAATTTGGTACCTGCTATCCCCAGGAGCTTGGATTTTCACAGGAGGTACTCACTACGGACTGATGAAATACATTGGGGAAGTGGTGAGGGACAACACCATCAGTAGGACTTCCGAGGAGAATGTGGTAGCTATCGGCATAGCTGCCTGGGGCATGATTTCCAACAGAGAAACTCTGATCAGAAGCAGCAATAACAACGTAAGAAATATGCCATGCTCTCCATGGGGGTTATGGGGATCCAATATAAAACGCATCTTTAAGTCACAAGACAGCTACAATAACATTAAATGCAGTGTTTGCCAAATGCAGCACTGCTTTACATCTGCCTCATTATCTGTACCAAACCTGATGCTGTCAGCCTGTGTCTGATTTAGATGGCCCATTAAGAACTCTTTCTGCTTCAGAACTACGTAGCTTGTGGTAAGATAATTAGTACCTACTAGGGGTTATATTTCAAATGAGATGGACCGAACTTACAAAATGCATGCTGGATCTTGGAAAATGTCTGCAGATAAGATTTCACTGAATGAGAAATGAGTAGCTGGAGGCAGGCTCTTTGGTATGGCTGAGTTTTACTCCACAGGACCTAGGTCAATGGACAAATGGTGGCTTTATTCATCTTCATGTTCTCCCAGTTCTGGGTTTGGCCTCATGTCTCCATTTAAGTTAGCTTGTTCCAACCTATATTTTTACAGCCATGGATTGCTGTGGCATAAGGATATCCTGGCTATCAAGGAAGTCAAGGGTCCATTCAATCCTATGAACACATTAGACAAGCAATTCCTATAGACAACAGCACACAAGGGAGTTATTAGTCTGGCTGCTCTGGAGTCCTCAGCCTAAATGACCAGGTACCATCTTAGAGCTGGTTGGTTGGTGGTGGCCATTGGCATGAGTTTGGAGTGAGGCTTGAGGGGGAAAGCTGAGAGGTGCACAGTAGTTAGCTAGATGGATCTGGAGTCTGACTTGACTTGAAATTGTGCTTGTTCCTAAAAAATAAACAGTAAAAGAACGTAAGATTGGTGGGAAAGATGTAACCATTTCTGTGCCTCCATTTCATTTTCTTCAGATCTCACTCAAAGTCCTGTCATTATTTTTCTAGGAGTATTATTTAGCTCACTATATAATGGATGACCTTAAGAGAGACCCACTGTATTGCCTGGACAATAATCATACCCATCTGTTACTGGTTGATAATGGCACCCATGGATGCCCAGCAACAGAGGCTAAGTTACGGGCTCAGTTAGAAAAATACATTTCAGAACGTGTTATTCCAGGTTAGTTCATTTCTCAAAATTGAGACCTTTTCATTTTAGTGATGACATTGTACAAGGTTGGGTGATAAACTCTAAGGAGGTAATCAAGCTTTTTTCCTATGGCTGTGAATATATTATAAATATAAGCTTCTGACTGTATCCTCAGTGATGCATGGTGATGGTGTTGGTAGTATACTATCATCATCTATGCATCTAAAAGTAGAATGTTCCTTTTATGAACGAGTAGAACATAGATACATGCAGTATTTATTTGAGATTTCATTGTAAAAGTATTTGAGTGGATATCAAATGGTGTATCCAGCACTGTTCCCTAAGATTCCTGAATTGATAGGATTTCATTCTCCCAGACATCCTTCTGCTGTCAGAGGAAGTAACAACCTTTAGACAATATCCCTTTCCAACCCTCATTTTTGTTTGCTTGTAATTCAGCCTGTGTACCTGATACTGGTGTTATTAAAAAGGAGGCAAGGTTTGCCTGAAGAATGTATGGTTTGCTGTTGCATTAGACCTTGATTGCCTGTTTGTTTTAATATGAATGTTGCCTCCTGATTATCATGTTCACTAATGGCATATAGTGTGATGTTTACATGCTTGGTGTTAGCTAACCTATGATTTTGAAGGACATTAAGTCCTTATTGTTCACTGAAAATAGAATGTATGTTATCAAATATAGATTCAATGAAGCAATAAAACAACACTGCACAAACTCTTTACACAAGAGTGTAGGATTTTAATTTCAGTTAGCATATTCCTGGTTATGAACTAGTGTTTAATATATTAAACTATTGGATTAATTTAAAGCTCTTATATACAATTGCTGGTTTTACAGTTAAATTTTGAGTATGTCTAATCATTTTTGTTAATCCTCATTTCAGTCTAATTCCTCCCATAACCGTAATTGCTTCAAATAGATATTACAAAAACAACCTATAAAATCTTTGTAGATAGACTTAGAAAAGACTGGGCACAAGCCCAAATAGTTGGATACCTGTAACGTGCAGCAGAATTGGAATCTGGAGCCAGACAGCATTTTTTTTTTCAAGTAACTGCAACAAGTAAAATGATTCAAACCAATGAATTCAGCTAATCTGTGTGTGTGTGTGTGTGTGTGTGTATTTAAAATCACAGGCCCAGATTTTGCAGTTTGGATCCTTTCCTTATTATAGGGCAAATTATGCCTTTTAAACTTGACTCCTGAGCGGCTCTGAGAAACATTAGAGTTCTGAAATGCATTTCCTCTTCTGCTTTCCTTGTGTATCAGGAAATAGATTGTTGCAATCCTTCCTGGGTCACAGCATATTTCTCTCCCCCCTGCCCACCTAGCCTTGTTGCCATGGTCCCACTCCTTTACTGCCTACTCTCTGTCTCTTCCTGATTACTTTGATGGGAATGGTTTAGAATACATAGCTCTTGCACTTTTTCCCATTCAAAAATTGTTGGGGATGCCTTTTAGACAGGCCTAGCACCTACGTGCAAGAGCAGTAGGTTGGGTCAACCTTCTGCCTACTTTTCTGTGCGGGTGAAATAGATCCATCCAAAGCCCAGCCTGAAGAGATCAAGTAACTCCATCCTTCCCCAGAGTGCAGCATCTGGGCCCCACCAAAAGGCTTATCCTCCTTTACAGTTATTACACCTACTTTAAATCTTACTCTAAACTGAGATTTGGGATAAAGTTGCAAGAGTTTGCACAAAAATTGACTGCGTCTTAAAGCCCCACCTTTGTGATCATGTAGTGATTAGACTCTCTCTATTTGTTTATTTTAAAAGAAAGCTAAGTTTTTAGCTCTCTGACTTGCAGAAAGACTCTTGAAGGCCTAACTCTTCAAGGTCAGAAAGTAGCAGACAAAGAAAAAGAACCTGAAGTCAGTCCCCAAATTCATATTAAGAGAACTCAGAGTTGGCAATACAAATTTAAAACCCATTTGTATTGCTTTGTTTCTCATGGAGTAGCACATCCCCATGTACAGATGAAAACAAATACTAGTTTGGCAAAATATAGTGAACGTGTTCTTATGAAACGACAGTTTTATATGTTTGCTAAATCAATGAAAAGCAACAGATGTGAATATTAGTATGTATGGAAGATACTCTGAATGCTAGATCTATAAAAACAAACATAAGAACTGTGAGGGTCTATAGAGTAATTTGGGGTTCAAATATATGGACTCAGCAAGCTGAGACTCCCTTTTTGGCTTACTTTACAGATTCTAATTATGGTGGGAAGACTCCAATTGTGTGCTTTGTCCAAGGAGGAGGGAGGGAAACTTTGAAAGTAAGTCTTTTTTTGTCTGACCTGTTCCCAAAAAGTATCATATAATGTTTTGCTCCAATTGTAACCCTGCTAGAAATATTACAGGCATGGCTAGTAGCATTGCCTAGTTATTAAGGTTGCCTCACACTTTTGAAGACCCTATTTCACGGCTACATTTAATTTTCCAAATATTAATAATCCAAATAAAGTGATTTTTTTTTTTTAGTCTTCTGCCAAAACAGTTTTGAGAATGAAGTGTTTTGGGGGAGGGAGGGAGGGAGGGAAGGGCCATGGAGAAGGGGGAAATTTTGCAACACTTTTACTTTTTTAAAGAAAATGTTGGTAGCCATTTTCTTTGAGAACTTGATTGCCTCCATGCTTTGCGAAATATTTTTTGCTGTTCCTCTGAAAATATGCCCAAATTTTGCCTGTAAGAAATCTGTTTACATATTCTCGGTAAAAATTACTTATGGCTTATCAGATAAATTGCCCCAAAAGTCTGTCAACTTATGGTCCAGGCTAGAATTAAACAGGACTTACTTGCAGCTGCAGCTCTGGCCATGTTGAATCTGGGACGAGGATCTTAAATGGATGGTAAAGAGTCTCTCTCTTGAAGTCTGGGTGTCTCCCCTGTTGTCTCCAGGCAGGGTGGAGGAAGAAACTACCTGACTTCAATGCAGAAATGACAAAAGCAGACTAAAGGCTAGGGGAAGGGAAGAAGGAGGCTAGGACAAGATGCCAACTGAGACTGGAGTTGTAGGAGATAGGGTTTGGATTGTCTGTGACTTGGCAGAAACCAGGTAGGGTAGTCTGGAGAAGAGCTTGGGTGTCAGCATTGTGGGGGAAAAAAGTGGTAGGGACTGGATGAGTGCGATGGTGGGACCTAAGAGTTGGTGGGGGAGAGGAGGCTAAGATTGTCCGAACTTAGGGACCGGGGAATTCTGGAACTGGTTGTGGGGGAGAAAAGCAGAAGAGAGGACTTGCAATCACTTGGTAGGGTTGGGGAGCCCTGAAAATGGATGAGGAGGTAGGGGAGACTGGACAATGAGAATGGGTCTGGGAGCCAGTATGTGTGAATGGAATTAGGAAGTGAGGTGATGGGCAACAGATCTGACAAAGAGCAGGGTGGGGTGGGGACTGAGAAGGTCTGAGAAAAGAGGGTAGAAATATCTGGGGAGGAGGGAAGGAATGGAGATGGATGAGGAGCCTGGGAGGAAGACAGGAACAGAACCATGGGAGAGGTATGGGCATAGAGGGAAGTCAAATCAGAAAAATCATCAGGAGCAGGAGAGGATGACTCCTGGGAATGGAAGCTGACCCAGAATGAGTGAGGACCTGTGAAAAAATGGTAGGTCATCAGGTAACTAAAGCCTGTATCATAATGTATGTGTACTAGGATATCTGATTAAGAAAATAAATCCACACTGACTACTACCTGGTAATGATGACTTATCGTCTTTTGAGCAGTCACAGTTGCTAGTCCCAATAATGACCGAAAGATCACATTACTTTAACATCAACACCCACTACTGGCATTTTCATTTCTCTGACCATCGAAGTGGCAGTTAATTAAAATTAATTTTAAGATTAATCTTTTAGTTTACATTACACATACCCACAAATGCAAAATATTAAAGGATGGCCTCTGGTTCACTGTCAACATTTAAATTATTTTCTAATCCTCCTCTTATATTTCTGTGGAAAGCTTCACTCACAGATATTTTGTAACATTTAGTCCATATGCATAATGAGTTAGGTGTTTTAATATAGTCAGTCTTCAGTTTAAGTTTGAAAGTATTATTTCAGTGTTTAAATCCATATTGATTTGCTTCTTATCATGCATCTCATGGAAAAAAGCTCATGTTGCTTTAGGTGCCCAACTGTAGACATTTAAATTGAAGCTTTTGGCTTCAGTTCTTTCAGCTGCCTTTTTACACACCATGAAGAGCAGTTCCTCAAGCAAACCGTATGAATTACTGGAATGTTTTGCAGAAATATCGAAAACACAGTATTTCAAATCAAATATAAATAGCATGCTGTAAATATTCATTTTAAAGCAGACTAACTAATGCATAAGATACTTAATCAGAGGAGTAACTGGATCATATAACCCAGGAAAGAGCATATGCCAGTCTCATTACTTAGCAGTGTTATTGGTATGATCAGATGTCCATGTTTCTGTTCTTGTTAAAGTTCATGGCTAACGTGGTCATCTCAGGAAGTAGATGAAACTTCAGTTCAGTCCAAGATGGTACAATAATTATTTCCATGCTGCAGAATTTTCCTGCTGCCATGCTTGATGGATCTTACTGGTGCCAGCACTTGGCAGTATCTGAGATACATGCCTGTAGAACAGCCTATGTTTTATCTTTGATTAGTTCAACTTCTTTTATTTAAAAAAAAATTCTTACAGGTGTACTTATGACTTCCATTTTAGCTGTGTCCCACCCCGGAACACAGCTTTGGTCCAATCAGCTTGGAAAGCATGTTTCTTATGTCATAAATCCATTGTCCAATTGGAAGATATGATATATACTTGTGGTTTTGACCACCAGAAATTAATTTCTGCTTCATACGACTGCCTTTTTTGGATAATATTAGTTCATCAGTGGACAGTCTGTCTTTGCTGTGGTTAGGTAATGAGACTGTCCATTTGTCTTAATGTATTTTTATCTTCTGCCATCCACTAGATAGATTTCTACTGTTAATGGCAGATAAAAATTAAAACTTGCTGTTGCATATTGGTCAATACCATGTAGTACCCAGATTTGATCTTTAGAAGTAGTGACTCCATGTAGCAAAGTTCATTATTTATTCATAACTTTCTCATTTTAATTTCTATAACCTCATACTTTAAGAAAGTGCCTGAGTAAAACTAGTTTGATCTTTAGCAAAAATAACTAAAATGCAAGGTGGAATTATCAAATTATATATAAGTATAAATATAAAATTAAATATTAAATGTTATATGTACTAACATACAGCTATAACATAATAATATATAGGCCTGTTAGTTTAATATCTAATATTTTGCTGCTTACGTGTTTTTTAAAGGTCTAGTGCTCACATCTCCACAAATTAGGTCAGAACCTGATACCCAATCGTTGCTTTATCAGAGCAAGACTGCTCACAAAGGCGGCAAGAAGGCCATTAATGTTAGGGTTTTTTTACTTCTCCCTCTCTGGAGGCTGTGTTGTAAGCTATCTTAAACGCTAACTATGCTTTGTAATTTTCTTATTCTCTTAATCAAATTCTATATTCCCTGTATCCCAATTCCTGTCCCTGAGCCCTCATGTAACTATTTATGGCCATCTAATCTTATCAATGGAAGCCACTGTGGAGGGCCAGCATTGCTACAGTTGACAGCACTGACTGGAGCTGTGGGTTTCTCTGTTGACTACATAAAACTATATTAAAACAATGTTTATTTTTTGTCTTTGTTTTCCTAGGCTATCAATGTTGCTGTCAAGAGTAAAATCCCCTGTATAGTAGTGGAGGGTTCAGGTCAGATTGCAGATGTAATAGCAAGCCTAATGGAGGTGGAAGGTTCTCTGTCATCTTCGTGTGTCAAGGAAGGCCTGCTGAGATATCTGCCTCGTACTGTGTCAAGACTCTCGGAAGAGGAGACTGAAAGCTGGATCAAATGGGTAGGTGCAGGTGATGTCAAGAAATTGCTGAGGCAGAAAGGGCAGTCCTGAGGGAACTAGAGGGAAAAGGGTCTGTCATTTGAGTCCCAAATTGCTTTCTTATAATTAAAAACCAAAAGCCAAGCCCTAGAGCACTACCATGAATTATACGCAGTCCACTTGCTCCTGCTCCTCCAAGTTCTGGAAATGACAGTGTAGCTGTTTTAAAGCAGAGCTGAGCACATGTCCTAGGGCTGCTTTGTGTCTCAGGTATTCTTCTTGACCTGGTCTCAGGTCTGCTCTAACGCAACTAAGTTTTCGTATTTCCAGGGTTTGCCACAGACTGAGTGAGAGAAAGTGACATGCTTCTGGGCTTGAAAATGGAGGTGATGTAGATCAGTGGTTCTTAACCTTTTTAAGACACATGGACAACAGGACACATTTGTAAACATCAGTGGCCAGTCCCAACCCAGAGCTCCTCACTCCCGACCTGCTGCCCCTTGCCCCCAGGCCCCAGCCCTTTAGTGTGTGGAGTAGGGGGTGGGTGTGTGGGGCAGGGGGGCGGGGGCAAGCAACCCCTTGCAGGCTGGAACTCTGCCAGCCTGCAAGGGAGAAGCCATGGTTTCCCATGTTTTTCTCCTTGAAAGGAGAATCCATTTTTAAAGTTTGCTCACAACCCTTTCATGTATTCTTGCGACCCATTGGTTGAGAAATGCAGGTGTAGATAAGCCATTTTTCTCACAAAGTGCACTTTAAACTGTGGAACTCATTCCCACAAACTATTTTTAAGTCCAAGAAATTAGTAGGTCAAAAGTGATGGGAGCCTTCCAAAGATAAAGAACAACCAGAGTTACAATAGTGAGAATAAAAATGGGGACAAGCTCAACATGCTTTGAAATGCACATTAATCCTCATGCATCAAAGCTCCAACCAAATTTTAATTGGTAGTGGCTGAAAAGAAACTTCATCTATGGGCTGTTTAACCCTTAGCTGCCTACTACATAGTTTCTTACTCCTTTATCTGAACCAGTGGCTGCTGTCTACTCTTCTTGACAGAGTATTGGACCAAAAGGGCTGGTGATTGCAGCATGGCAGTTCCTATGTAATCAGAAGTATATCGGGGTGCAAAGTGGGGTGCAGTAGCAGTGACTTGTACTGCAAGGGTGGCTGTACCCCCTACTCCCAGCCTCTGACCTCCCCCACTGGGGCAGGCAGACCTCACCATGGGAGCTGCAGTTGGGAGAGTTTAAGTCCCCAGAGCAGCTAAGAATCCCCCCACTTCTCTTTCTGCTAAGAGGCATATTCCCTTCCCCTCCCTTTCCCCGACCTGCTGCTGTTGCTGAATCCACTGTCCCAGGGGTGAGGAGAGTTCCTTTTTTTGCTCCACTGGCCTGCATGTGGGCCAGGCTTAGCCTGGAACAGCAGTTATGACACTGGTGGATAGGCAGGTTTCCCCTCCCCATGCCAGCTCTTGGGGTGGTGGGGAACACCAGAGGAGACTGAGCAGAAAGGGAGAACCTGGTTGCCCGATGTCACTGCCACTGCTCCTCTCTTAGGCTGAACCTAACCTGCTTTCAATGTGGCTAGAGCAGGACATGAGCTCCCTTCACCTTAGGGACAGCAGGGATGTAGCGGCAGTGGTGGTGGTGGGGAGGAGAGAATGGTAGGAGAGAAGATGAGCAGGGGAAAGGAAATGCCTCTGAGCATGGACAAGAAGGGACAGGGGAATTTTTACCTTCTTCACAGACTTCTAAAAGTCTCCAGCTGTTGATCCTGTGGCATGATCTATCTGTCCCAGTGGGGGAAGTCAGAAGTGGGGGAGTGGGGTGCAATCACTACTGCAGCACCATTTGCTGCTACTGACCCCACTCCCAAAACCCTGGAATCTGGATCCATTTCTGGATCAGAAATGAGGGTGCAGTCACACCAATGCACCTCCTCTGGATCCACCACTATCTTTGACATAGGTGAAGAATTGGAAAGAAACCTGGAGTGAGTGACAAGGATTCACTTAACTAGCAGATTTCACATGAATATGTGGTGATAAAATGTCATTTATATGCATTTCCACAGTGTTTTCTCTTGTAAGAAACTTGCTTTGAGGACTTTAGCATTGCTGCAGTTTCTTCACTTTCTTTTACCCTTAATAAACCATCACTTCAGATTTAATCATGCTGTGGGCAAGCTCCCTTTCCAATTCCTGATTGGAGAATGTAGTTGAGCAGTGTTGTTGTTTGCACCCTGACCAGTTTTCCATTGCATCAATATATCCCCCATATAATTTCTTGTGGTGGGCACAACACAACTTAATGCTTCATCCCAGCTATACTATACTTGGGGGCTAGGTGAAGATTTAACAACAGAACATTTATTCTTAGAACAATAGAAGAACAGTAGAAATATAGAAGATTTATTCTTAGCTTTGTCCCTTAACAGAAGAGAGGTAGCGCTAGAGAACTAGATGCCACTGTGGTAGAGTGTACATGGCTTATGCTTGCCTCCAACGATACTTGGCACCAGCTTGAGAATAACTTTCTGATTCCCTTTTCATTGCTAACCTACAGTTCAATCTGTTTCAGCTCTTTTTCTGTTCTTCTTAGCAGCAGCTGGAAAAATGGAGTTCATGAAATCTTAGTGATTTGTTATTTTTAGAATTTTTACTTCATAATAGCACTCAGACTCAATGAAGGAGCCATTAGTGTGGGGTAATCAGCTTTTTTAATTACCTGTCCAATGCTCCATCTCAGGGTCTGTCTCTCTTCTTTCTTCTGGTCAATTATCTTATGGCCATGATTGTTCTGGTGGGGAATGATTGCTTTTTAGAACATCCGTTAATATTCTTAATGTTAAATTCATGAAAATAGTCCATTACCTTCTGTCCATTTCAGCTTGTTTTTCATCTTGGGTTTTTCTTTTTTAATAACCATACCATTACATGTTTTTAAAGACCTGGGAGTTCAGTCTAGGCCTCAAAACTTCTACCTTTTACTCTTGCAGTGATTATAGGATATCACTTACTGTTTTCTGCTCTTCTGGACATGCAATGATTATTAGACAAGTATATATGTATGTTACAGACTGCTGTGCGAGATGATTATTCTGCAAAAGATATATCCAATGATCTATGCATTTCATGATATGACAGAAAAAACTAACAGTCATCTTGTGTGGCATCTTCTCCAACAGTAACCTCTGTCAAATGCTTGTAATACTCTTTTTTTGTTGGATCAAGCTGTGAAATACCACTCCATGAGGGTGACCACCTTTTCAGAATGGAATGGCGGGACACATGCCCACCTCTCTCCCTCCCACCCGGTGGTACGGCCAGAGCAGAGCTGAACAGAACAGGGGAGGATGCAGGCTGCCTGCTCTGGGGCTCAGGGCTCCCCACTGTGTTGCCCTTTCCCTAGGAGCTTCCGCGGGCCAGCAAATGGGACCCTGCACAAGAGGGCGGAGAGGCTTGGTGCTGCTGCTTCTGGGAGCTCCGCAACAGTTTCTCCCCAGGACTGCATGCACTACCCTGGATGAGCCGCCCATGGTGTGCTCCCTGGCTGAGCCCTGTAGCTGCACATTCCTACCTCAACCCCAGACCCTAAACCCCAGTCCTGCTCTGGCTGAGCAGCCCCTGCCCCACTCCCTCCCTCACCATGAGGGCTTCAATCTCCGCCCCTGCCCCCTATGCTCCCTCCTCCCCCTCTCCTCTCCCCCATAGACTTACCTGCAGGGAACTGCTCTCCATCACTGCCTGGGGCTATCTTGCTGGCCATGTGCATGTGTGTGCATGCACACATGCATGTGGTGTCCCCTGCATCCCACTTCCCCCATCCCCAAACAGCACCTTGTAGGCTGGAACTCTGCCAGCCTACAAGGGAAAACCTGCCATTTCCCTCATTTTTCTGCAGCAAATGGAAGACCTGGATCCCTGCACAATACTGAGAATCCAGGACAAGTGCTGTCTTAGAGTTGTTCAGCCTGGGACCAGGACTTGATGTTCACATTTCAGGACTGTCCTGAGCAATTAGGGATGAGTGGTCACCCTACATCCCATAGATGGGAGCTTTGATAAGCTTTGATTTGTTCCTGATCCCATTCTCCCTCATTCAGGAGTTAGTTGAGAAACAAGGGAACTTATAGTCTCATGGAGCACCTATACATGTCCACACTCCAGCAGACTCCAGGGTCTCATATATCAGTGTCCCCGCACTGAAAAATGGCATTGGGGGCACTTCAACTAAAGTTCATTCAACTCTGAGAGCTACTCTAATTAAAGTGCCCCTCTCCCCTGCCACTCCTGGAGCATGTGTATGCCTCTAAATGTCTAAATAACTAGGAAGAAATAGCTTCTGTCTTATAGGTAAGAAACCAAACTACATATATATCCAGAATGAAATCAAACTTGATCTGTACTTTAAAGTTTAATAAAAAAATTGTTCTCAGACAAACCCCATCCCAGTCAAATATCTATCCAGCCTCCTCTTGAAGACCCCCAAGGGAGGAGAGAGCACCACCTCCCTTGGGAGCCCATTCCAGAGCCTGGCAGCCCTAATTGTATAGTAATGCCTCCTGATGTCCAGCCTGAACCTTCTTTCTAACAATTTGTGGCCGTTATTCCTAGTAATACCTGGTGGTGCCTGGGAGAACAGAGCCTCCCCCAATTCCCGCTGGTCCCCCCTGGTGAGTTTGTAAACAGCCACCAGATCCCCTCTCCTCCTCCTCTTGTGGAGGCTGAATAAATTCAGGAACTTTAGCCTCTCTTACTAGGGCCTGAACCACTGCCTCTTGACCATGTGAGTGGCTCTCCTCTGGACTCTCTCAATGCTAGCCACATCCCTCCTGAAGTGCGGTGCCCAGAACTGGATGCAGTACTCCAACTGTGGCCTGACCAACGCCACATAGAGGTGAAGGATCACCTCCCTGGATGTGCTTGCAATGCATCTGTAGATGCACGCCAAGGTGCAGTTAGCCTTACTGACCGCTTCCTTGCGTTGGTGGCTCATGTTCATCCTGGAGTCAACAATGACTCCAAGATCCCTTTCTGCCACTGTGTTGACAAGAAGGGTGTTCCCCAGCCTATAGGTGTGTTGCTGGTTCCTTCTCCCTAGATGCAGCATCTGGCACTTGTCTGTGTTGAATTCCATCCTATTCTCATCCACCCGCCTCTGTAGTTTGTTTAGATCTAGCTGGATTCTGTCCCTCCCCTCCAGCGTGCCCACCTCACCTCACATCTTGGCTGTGTAGTGCTGGCACAGCAAGCAGATGCCATGATCCTGGATGCCAGTAAGCTCTTTGAGAATAGAGCTAAAACACGGGCAATTGCCAAGCTAAGTCACAAGCGAGAAACTGACTGTCAGAAGACAGGGGCTGGAATCTGGAAAAAAGGGGTCAAGGCAGTTCGGGGCATGGGGAGTCAAGGCTGGAGCCTGGAACAAGGAGTTGGTAGGCAGGAATAAGGATGAAGCCAGGAAACCAACAAGGTGAACCCAGGAAACAAGAAACTAGGACCAAACAAGCAGCACTTAAAACACTAGGAACAAAAAGGCAGGACCCAGGGACTGGGAAATAAAGGGTCAATGGTTGGAACCAAGGCATCTGTTATACTGAGTAGCCTGCTGCTTATAAGTAGGCAGCTGCCCCATGGTAGGGGCACTTAGGCTACTGGCAGCCAGGCAGACTCAATAATCAGGACCTGCTGGGGGCAATATAGCCTGCTTTCTGCCCTGCCTCCTGACCTGCCTCCAGTAAGAAAGGGGACAACTTTTCTTCTCTACTTCCCCTTACCCATCTCTTGCCATTTCATAGTTCATATTTTCTAGGGTCAGAAGGGACCTGAACAGATCATCAAGTCTGACCCCCCTGCCCTGGGCAGGAATGAGTGCTGGGATCATGATACCCCAGCCAGATATCTATCTAACCTCCTCTTGAAGACCCCCAAGGTAGGGGAGAGCACCACCTCCCTTGGGAGTCCATTCCAGAGCCTGGCAGCCCTAACCATAAAGTAATGCCTCCTGATGTCCAGCCTGAACCTACTCTCAATCAATTTGTGGCCATTACAGAGCCTCACTTATTTTCTGCTGGTCCACCCTGGTGAGTTTATAGATGGCCACCAGATCCTCTCCCAGTCTTCTCTTGTGGAGGCTGAATAGATTCAGGCCTTTCAGCCTCTCTTCATAGGGCCTGACCCGCTGCCCCTTGACCATGCGAGTGGCCCTCCTCTAGACCCTCTCAATGCTAGCCACATCCCTTTTGAAGTGCAGTGCTCAGAACTGGACGCAGTACTCCAACTGCGATCCCCCCGCTGGTCCTGCTTGTGATGCATCTGTAGATGCACAAGATGTGGTTAGCCTTACTGACCACTTCCTCGCATTGGCGGCTCATGTTCATCCGGGAGCCAACAATGACTCCAAGATCCCTTTCAGCCACTGTGTTGTTGAGAAGGGAGTTCCCCAGCCTGTAGGTGTGCTGCAGATTCCTTCTCCCTAGATGCAGCACCTTGCACTTGTCTGCATTGAATTCCATCCTATTCTCATCTGTCCACCTCTGTAACCTGTCTAGATCTAGTTGGATTCTGCCCTCTCCTCCAGTGTGCCCACTTCTCTCCACATCTTTGTGTCATCAGCGAATTTGGACAGTATGCTTTCCACACCCACATCCAGATCGCTGATAAAGATGTTGAACAACACAGGCCCCAGGACCAAGCCCTGGGGGACTCCACTGCCCACATCCCTCCAGGTCAAAAACGACCTGTCTACTGCCACTCTTTGGGTGCGACCGTCTAGCCAGTTTGCCACCCATCTGACTGTGTAGGCATCAATGCTGCAGTCACCTAATTTTTTTTAAGAGAATGTGGTGAGAAACAGTGTCAAAGGCCTTCTTAAAGTCCAGGAAGATGACATCCACCTTGACACCCTTGTCCAGGGACTTTGTGACCTCATCATAAAAGGAAACCAGGTTAGTCAGGCAGGATCTTCCCTCAATGAGTCCTTGTAGACAGAGTTAAAATTTAACCATGTGTAAGGGAAGAGAGCCCAAGATAAACAGTTCTGTGATACAGAATTTCTGAAAGAGACATTAGCAAATGTCGAGGGTCGGACCCAATGATCTACCAGGTCCCTTCTGACTCTAGAAATCTATGAAATCTCTATAAATCTATTAAATGAACTGATAAATCCCAACCTAACTTTAAACCTGGTGTTTCTTGTTGTAGACCAAGGAAGTCCTTGAAAACCCACATTTACTTACTGTTATTAAAATAGAAGAAGCAGGAGATGAAATTGTGAGCAATGCCATTTCATTTGCTCTATATAAAGGTGAGTGCTTCTCTCATCCTTTTTCCATTTTAATTTTGCTTTGCTTTTAAGTGGCTAAAGGAAAGATAGTATGGTAGTTGGAGCACTCATTTTAGGATAATGGACACCTGGGTTCAACACTTTGGACAAATCGCTTAGTTTCTCGGTATTGCAGTTTATTGGGCATAACAGCATCACTTTGCCTCTCAGTATCAGATCACTTTGTAACACCCCTATAGTCACAAGACCTGGTTGCTGGTGGGATTTCAAACTTGATGCACTCCAAGGCGTGCTGTTATATTCCAGGTTCAGGTACCGGCATGCTGAACAGTGGTTGTTATGCTTTGGGAAGAAATATTTTAACACACCTGTAGATCTACTACATTTTTAAGCTGCTTTGCAAGCTATAATTGTGGGAGGTTTCCCAGAGATTTAAAGTAGAAAAACCACCGCCCCCAAATTAATCTTATTTATAACATGTGGGGGTCTTTTGTTGGATCATCTGAATGGAAGCTGGGATTCTCAAAGGAGGATTCTAAGGAAATTTGGCACCTGTTTTATAGTACATGAGCCCCTAATTTCTTTAACCCCTTTTAAAATGCCTGTTGGAATTGTCATTGAGGTTAATGGGAGATAAATGGATGAAAAGTTGGAGAATGTGCCATATACAGGGACAGATCCAGGTGGGGGGTGTACTGGTGCACTTGCGCCACCCTCTTTCCACACCCCCCCCCCTTTTGATTCCTACTCTACCCAAAGTTTTAAACCAGCTGCCTGGCAATGTCAGCAGCACTTCCAGTCATGTGGTGCTGAGGGAGTCACTTGTTTTCATGGCTCATTATAATCTGCTTTGTCCCTTCTAAACTTTGTTCCACCGGTATTAATGACCCTCTCTTTGTAATGATGTTCCACCAACCAAGCTATCCTTTGTTCTGCAATCCCACTGTCTGTTAGCTGCTCCTGGTGTTGAAGCTCCTATTTCATAGCTTCACTGATTGTTTTTAAATCATTCAAATTAACTTATGTTTTTGCTTCAATACAGCTGTAGGCTCCTAGAATATTAGTAAAGCTTCTAGTTTATTTTTAACTGGAGAAAAATATCTGTTGTTCCATATGTAATGATGCACCTCGCCATCTGCATCCACCTTTTCAAAATTCTCGATCAGCCCATGGCTATATGTGAGGAAACATCAGTGTAAATGTTTTGCTCATGTCCCATGTTAGTCATATTATGTTTGGTGAAACGGATAACATTTCACTGAAATTCTGAGTGTGCAAAATTTGACCCTGATGTTGAAAAAAGGCAGAGTACTGCTACGTCACACAAGTTTAAAATCTAGGAGCAATGTAAATCCAGCCCAAATATCAAACAATAAAACTTAGCAACGCTTTGATACTCTGAACTCATAGAGAACATTTTCTGCAATAATATTTTGTTCCTGGAACAGAAAAGGAAATTATTCAGAAACCAATACAAAGTTTTTTCTTCTACTATATGTGCGGGCTGGGAGTGCCCCGAGCCCTTTTTCGCGCTGCATGCGGGCTGTGGCCAGCAGCCCGGGCACGCGGGGGCGGAGAGGGGTGGCTTTCGCTCTGGAATTAGGCGCGGACGCGTATCGGTAGTTTAAAAGATTGTTTACTTACACCGAGATGGCAGTGGTGCAGGCTGGAAAGCTTGCTTAAGTTGCGGTTACAGAAAGAGAAAAGAAAACAAAAACTCGAACCTGCAGAACACGAGGGTACGTCGCATAGGGTTCCGGCGACGGGAAGAGGAAAATACGAGGGTACGTCGCATAGGATTCCGGCGACGGGAAAATAAATCCGCAGGACTCGAACCCGGGTAGAAGAGCTCTGAGGCCGATCGTAAGGGTTCACACGAAGTTTGTTAGGCTCCGTGCGTTCTTCCGTTTACTCATCCACACGAAATTTGCTAGGTTCCGTGGGTTTGGTTCGTAGCGCGCGGGTGGGGTACGTCTAGGAATTCTATCGGCGACGGGGAGAGGCTAGAGATTGATCAGATCTCCGTTGCCTGCTTCAAATGCACTGGGTCCGTGAGGATCCACAGCGCTTAGAGATCTTCACACAGCGTGAAGATCTCCTCCTCCCTTGTTCGTGGAGTCCTCCAACTTGGGCGGAAACCACTCAAGCCTCTTATATGGCTAGCAAGCCAATCACTAGCCGCCACGTGTGAATAATTTAGAACTGGCCAATAATGGGACTCAAATTAGCATACCAATGGCGGGAACTCTTTGCAACGAGCATTTCCTCTCTGCAGCAAAGAAATGCACCCTGCAAAGCAAGCTCCAAATTGGCGGGAAATTCTCCCTTGCACCGGGGTTCTCCTCTGCAGCAGAAAACTCCACCGTGCAAGGAAGCTTGCAATTTAGCGGGGACAATTTAGCAGTGCCGAAGCACACACAAATAAAAATCACACCTTTTGGGTTGTGACACTATACTATAGTAGATATGTTTTAGCCACAAGTTAGGTAATCGGTTATATAAAGGCTTTAAAGCATCAGATGCAAACGCTCTGATTTATCACTAATATTACAATAAACAATTAACAGTTTAATTTCTAATGCTAATGTTTGTTGAATTCATAGCACTTCCTCTTTCCTGTATTCTTACTTGCAAAGTCCATTTAATCACTGCAGTAATTTGTTTCAAGGATCAATTTCTCTTTTCAGATACTCTGGTTACTCCAATGATTTTCTGGTTTATACCTGTCCTAATTGAGAACGGGACTGTCTATGAAGTTCACTAGGTTTATCTGCTACCAGTCTCTTTTAGGGGTTCTGGGGAGAACTTGATTTCATGGTACAGGATCAAGATCTTTGAGTTCCTTGGGGAAGAACACCCCAGCTCAGTCTCCATGGACTGATCTTAGCAGCACTGCCAGGATGGGATATTAACTTACTGGGTGGGTCATCAGGAAGCTAAAGTCTGAGGTGTGGTTGTTCCGTTCCTCGATCCATGTTCTATTTCCCAAACTTTGTGCAACCTTTTCTTCAGATGGAACACCAAGTTCACTTGGGGTACTTGGAGGTTATGGAGCCAAAGAGGCAAGACTCCTCCATTCTATGCGTGGTATCAGAGGTCCCCTAGGGACTACCAATACATGTGGAGTGAGTGTACCCATGAAGATGGTAAATGAGTCTAGGATAAGCTGTTTAAAGGGGCTATTTAT